CAGTGGATTATCTGATGGTGGAACAGTGGAACAGAGATGGTGGAACAAAAGAACATCTGATGGTGGAACAGTGGATCAATCATGCTGGAAGAGCAGAACATCTGATCGTGGAACAGGGATTGTGGAACAGTAGAACATCTGATGGTGCAACAGTGGAACATGTGATGGTGGAAGAGTGGAACAGAGATGGTAGAACAGTGGAACAGAGATGGGAGAACAGTGGAACAGTGATGGAGGAACATCTGATGATGGAACAGTGGAACAGTGGAACAAAGCCGGTGGAAAAGTACAAGATAGGTAAGAGTTAGGGTAAGGGTTAAGTTAGGGTAACCCCTCCTCCACCTCCTTAGGGTTAGGGTTAGGTTGGGGGTGAAGGTTAGAGTTAGGGTTAGGAGTCCTTCTTCTTGCTTTTAAATTACCTTTGTTTATTTTTTATTATTATTTTTATTTATTGAATTTTCTGCTTATAGGTTCCGATCCAGGCTTTGATGTTAGCTTACCATATTGAGGTGGCGGAAAACTATTAATTAATCGAAAAATTCTTTTTGAAAGAAATAACTTTGCAAAGGACTATGATTTGAACGCCATAGCCCGCACAGCTCGCGCAGATGAAAACAACAACACTCACCTCTTTTCCCTACTATCGGTTAACAAATTCAAAAGTTTTCTCTTAAATTTACGTTATAAAACACATGGTTAATGCTTCATCGTGTACTGTTGAGTTATGGATGCACTTATAGACCTCTTGGGAGGATTGCTAAGCTCACAAGAACTCGAGCTCTAGTGTATTGACGTCATCAGCTCAATGGGAATATGAAGCATGCTCGCGCTATTGAATTTGATTAGACGAATATCCTAGCTATGTTATAATTTACGTTTGTTTTAATAAAAACAAGAGAGCCACAAGGGGAGAGAAACTAATAGCATAATTAAGTTATAGTTATAATAAAATTTTTATTCAGGTTACTTTCGAGTATTGTTCTGACAGCAAATAACGTGTTATTTCTTTGGAAAAGGAAAACGTAGTAAGGTCTGTGACGTGATCAGGAATATCGCGCCTGTTTTGTCAATTTATCGAGCTTCAAATTAATTTTGTCCGACCTACCCTAAGTTAGGAGAATATAGGAAATGATAGTGTAAAACGAAATGCCCTTAAGGTTTAACAAGTGCGCTTGCACCAAACGTTTTGTGAAAAGTTGACGTCCTGGACGTCATAAATGGCGACTGGAAATTAATCTTTTCTCTCTTTCGGGGCTCTGAGTCCTCAACAAATTCTTACAGAAAGGCATTGATCATGAGATTTGTTGTGAGAGACAGAACCGTTCCATTAAGCGAGACATCGAACTTCCGGTTGCTATTCATGACGTCCAGGAGGTCAGCCTTCTCGTTTTTTAAGCTCGCTAAAGCCTAGGGCAAACGGTCAAACGTCTGTTTGCACATAGCTATGACAAGGTTCAAACTTTGCTCAACAACTCCCAACAACATGCAAAAACATGCAACAGGGCGTGCAACATCATTTCTGACTCAGCAATAAGGTCCCAATTATTCCGCTGTACACCATAACTGAGTTTGTAAGTACAAACACAAAGTTACAATAGTTTTACAATTTTCAATTTTGCTGGAAATAATATATTATTATTTCATTGTTAATAATAATAATTATTATTATTTTGTGAACATTCCAACAATCTGTAGTATAAACAGTGTCCATGTTCCTGCAAATGTCCATTCACTTGTTATAATATTAAAGAAAAACTTTTAAAATGGGGAGAAACATAGTTTTTATTCAATTTTAGTTAGCAACACTTAGTAGCTTTTAACACCACGACCATGAAAGTTGTAATCTTCTGCAGAATCATTTACGACTTTTGTTAATTACCAGTTTTTTAGTTCATTAATATTTTCAGCATTATTTTCTGTTTAATCATGCTGCAGACAAGGTCTCGCTATCTTACAGACTTAGTTTACGTTAAACGAACTGTAGATTGAGGTTCTACAAGCCTGTAGAAGGCAGGTACAAAACACGGACCACATCACCTCATTAACATACTTACGAGACAACAGTTGCCATTGTTTTCCCTATAATTATGTAAATGAGTCGATCCAATCCGGGCTTTGAAATGTACCTGCCCGTCTGAGATAATATTTCACACAATTAAATAAACTTGAAAACAGTTTTGGTGCACTCAACAAGGCAACACCCGACCAACAAATATTTCGGGTGATTTAATGAGGCTGATGATATTAGAGCCTCTTCAATGCAAGCTCCCCAACTCAAAGAGATATATCAAGGATTAAAAGCCATAATTATGATAGCCATCACAAAGCGCTTATAATTTTTGTCAAAATATGAGTGACAAAACTTCACTAAAATACTTGTAATTTGGTCAGATATGAAGTACTATGAAAATGTAACTTCCAATCAGTAGCTGATAAGACGGTTACGTTTTCAGCCCACAATGCAGGCAGTTTCTGGGTTGCATGGATGGACTTAGAGAGGGCCACAAGTCCCTTTTGTCTGAAACGGTACAGTTTTGGAGAATTCCCAGTAAAACTTAATCTGATAAAGTTAGGAATATATGAAAATCATATAAAATTATGAGAACTGCAGGGTGAAGAATTATATGAAAGAAGATCATCACAGTTATAGTCCATCAGCTGAGAGCCGAAAATTTGGGTTTATGGCTCACTCGAGGGGAACAGCCGAAACATGCCACATATTAATCTTTGACTATTAAGCATCACAAAAATGCATAATAGCAGGGATAAAACGGTAGATTTCACTTTGAAAATCGAAATTTAAATTTGCCCCTCATTGTCTCCTTTTGGCCGCCATCTTGAATTTTGGGGAAGGCTGAAAAGTTGCTTATATTCTTTTCACTTAAACAAATGTTGTTTTAGCGTAGATTTAAAACATATTTGAACTAAAAACATGACTTCCGTCACCTTCACTCAATAAGACAGGCAGTTCGCTATTTGTTTAATAACTAGAAAAAATGTAAGGTTTAGAAAATTGTTTCAGAAAAGAGTAGGTAAATAAATCATATGTTTAAATTGCAAGTGTATTGAATAAAGTCTCCTCTTGAAGACAATTTCTTAGTGGACAACCTTATCCAGTCACGCGTCCATGACCGGAATCAGTTTTAGAGGTTTCAGCTGAACGTGAATTTCCCGCACATCTCATCAAAAACAATGTAATGGCCGAACTAAGTTCACCAACGAGAGAGATTTGCAACTCGCTAAGCTTGTCTACACAGAAGCAAGTGATAACTAACTGCACTCTACGGGCAAGAGAAAGCAGCCACCGAATGGCTTTGTAACGAGCCGTTGCTCATCCAATCACACGCTTACTTTGACTCAGTGAAGAAGGCCAAGATGAAGGCTGTGCCTGAAGGTTCGCAACAAGGATCTAGTACTTCCTCTTGTGCTTGGATGGCACTTCTAGGACAGTTCCGGCAAGCTGAGAACAAAACCGGCAGTTTTGATGAAATGGCAGGCTACAGAAGTTGTAGATCTCCTCTGGAGCTGTGTGCACATGTTCCACGTGGTCGCTTAGAGTAACTAACTTCGCGCAGCAGGTGAATAGACAAAGTGGTTGACTTGTAGCGCGAGGTGTTGATCAAAAATGTGAAAAGACTGAAAATAATGTCTACCACTGACAGTGTACAATACAGGGATTTACTGCGATGCACTATACTGTGAAGTCATAGAACGAGCTGCTAAGTCCCAACACAAATAAACTGAAATCGTCAAATTCCTTGTGCCCATATTTAGCTTTCAGTTTACATAAGTTAATAAATTTGTAAGCAACAACGTCACAAAAAGTTTCCAGTGATATCTCGTTTTGGATATTCAGACTAATTCAGACTAACCCTAACAACGTTACACTCACAAAAAAGGTACCATTTTGAGGAAAAATCCACTGCCAATGTGGCTGTTTATCTGCTACTCTTTAAAGAATAAATTTTTCCGTTTCCTAAAAAGTTGGCCAGCCACAATTCCATGCAAAAAAAGAGGGAAATTATTATTATATTAAGAGGGAATCAAAGGTTTGTTCATAAATCCAAGATGGCGACCAAAATAAGGGTTTAAGTGGCAAATTTAAAATTCGATCTGCAAAGTGGAAGCTACCGTTCTACCCTTGCTATCATGCATTTTTGTGATGCTTTTTACTCAAAGATTTAAATTATACATGTTTTGTTTGTTCCCCTTAAGTGAGCCATACAACCCCCCTAGCTGATGGACTATTATAGACGCAATTTTGGCAGTTGCCAGGATTAATTTGTCTTCTATTGCCTTAATGTTTCAACACAGGTGATGTCAGAGTTCTCTATACAGCTGGCAAGTCTTCTGGCCCCCTCTTTTTGATTTATTTCTCTACAACACTGTGTGGTGGATGATTAATAAAGCGCAGGAAAAGGGGACAAGGGAAGTCATTCACCCTATACACACCCTCTTGCGGGGTTCGTACAGGTCATAGAAAGTTATGGAATTTAACAATTTCATTTTCAAGGCCTTGAAAGTCATGGAAAATTAAAGTTTTGTTTGGTAGATTAGTTACTGCGGATGACAAAGCAAGGATAACATAAGATAAAGACGAGTAATTATACAGTGTGAATGGCACACATTTTGGTGGATAACAGAGTTTGTTTCTGTTGAACTGTTTAAGGTCTAAAAATGTGCTAAAACAAGTGAAGTTTTGAAAATTTCCGAAAATGACAGCTAAACCTAAGGACATGGAAAACTAAAAAAGGTCATGGAAGAAGTCAGGGAATTTGAAGAACCCTGTCTTGATAGCACTTCCCACTCTCCCCAGTCTTTCTCTTCTTTAAAATTAAAATAAGATATGGCAATTGGCCTTTTCCAATAGTTAGTAACGTGATCAACTTCAACTGTAAACACGAAAACAGGTTGATTTGGGAAAATGATGTTAGCTTTAAATGAACTGTTTGCAATGAACTACATTACAGAGACTTACTTCTCTTGAATTTATTTCCAATTTATAAAACAGTCACAATCCACTGTATAAAATGATGACATATCTGCCTATCTAGAGCTGTGAAGGATGAAGAGTTGACGTAGGCAATCAGTGCTGTCTCTATATCACCAGGTTCAAACTTCACTCCTAGGTAACAAAATATCAGAGAGCAAAGGATGAATGTCATCAATAAAATAATAAATTTTATTTTAGGAGGGCAAACTTCAAGTTCAAATCTAGGAGACAGCTCCATAAAATTATTGGTTTTAGTCAAAAGGAATAAGCTGCTCAAAATAACTAGGTTTAAACTCATTGCCAAGAGATGAGCTTAGGTGCCTTAAAAGTTGGACGGGAACTTGAGTGCCTCAGGCATATCTTTAACACCAGATCCACATAGATCAACCCAAAATGCCAACATGTCACAAAATAAGTAAAGGCCCCCATGGTCACCCCACAGATCACATATGCTTAAGGGGGAGACTGCTGACTGCATTGGCTTGCAATTTAACTTTGCCTAAATTACATTTAGCCACATTAGACGCCCCCTTGAAATAATTTCAAAAGAGCCTTTATTACCAGGACAACTTTCTCATAAATTTACCACATCTTATAATAGTACCCTCCACCACCAAAAAAGCTGACAAAGCTTCTATTAATCAAATGCATTTCCCAAAAGACAGGAAAAGGACATGGTTATTATATTTTGGATCCCTGATGGTTTTCACTGGTCTTGCATTTTGGATCAAAGTATTTGATTCAGGCATTGATGAGGGTATAACAAAGACAGCAACATATGAGTAGCTAAACAAGGGCTCCTGGCACATCTGATCACCATACATTATTTTGAAACTTTTTTTTATCTTTAAGAGTTTCCTGAAAAATTTATGGCTTTCCAATTTAGAGCCACTGGTATTCTCTGAATCATTTTAGAGAGAAAAAAATACATCTCAATTTTAGTCACAAGATCAATGACTTGATATTATTTTCATGTTTTACAATGTACTTGTGCTTTTCCCTGAAAATACAGAACAGTATTTGCAGAATAAAAGAAAGCAAGAAAACGCACCTTTCAACCTACTGACAAGATCTGTAAAGAGGGAAAGCATTTCATGGTCATCACACTTGATATCTATCTTTTCAATCAAACCATGATAAGAAGTTGCTGTAATAGACTGCGAAAATAAAAATAAAACAATATTTATGAAGAAAGTTTTACAAAGGAACTGTAAAACACGGTTAATGGGAAATAGCTTCTCTGGCGCCATAAGGCATTACGTGTGCTGTAACTATCGTCCTTTAGACTCTAAAGTTCGGTACTGTAAATGTACCATTGTTTACTTTGTCTGGGTTTTTACCAATAGCTGTTTTATTCTTGTTACAATTTTGTCTCGATACAAGGTATATCGTCCTTTCTAAATGCTTACTTTTGCTGAATACTCTATTCATGTCTCATATGTTATGATGTAAGGTCTGGGGTAAACATAGTTCAATCTCATCCACTGGCTTAGGCTTTTGGCACTGTCTACTCGGTATAAAATGTGTTGTAAAGGACGATTAGTCACATCTTCCCCTCAAACGCTTGCTTATGTTGTAAAGGTTTTTTCCCTTCCTCCCTTTGGAGGCAAGTAGGTTTGTGTGTTACTGGCTTAGGTTTCAGCTTGTACTGCCGCCCCTGTAGCACGTTACTGGCCTAGGTTTCAGCTCGTAGTGCTTCCGTTTTTCTTGTGATCTGCCAATACTCTTTTCGGAAGTGGCATGTTGCTGGCCTAGGTTGTGCTGCCACTGCAGTGCATTGTTATTATTGTTGAGTTTTGTTGGTCTAAGCTTCAGCTCGTAGTGCCAGGGAAGTGAGGCCTTAAAATGGTAATGCACAGAAGTTGCGTGTCATGCAAATCACTGAGAGGTGCTCCTTAATTACTCCGAAAGGTGCTTGTAGTCCTTACTCTAACTAATAGTCTTTTAATTACTTATTAGTGGTGTAGTCTCAACCTTTACTGGAACAGTCTGTGACAGTGACAATTGTTAATTATTTTGTTTCACAAAATCTTGGGTTTATCTCTTTCAAGATTAGTGCTATATACATATAATTATCTCCATTTTTATCACCTGTGACCAAAAATCATCCTTAAAAAGTAGTAGTTCCTCTCTGCTAGAAAGATGATAGCAGTTTTAAATTCCACTTACAATGTCCTTGGATGAGAGGTTTGTTGAAAAAGTGACACTAAATCTTGGTGTTTTACCATAAATCCAATTCCACTCCTGAAAAAAACACAGCAGTACCAAAAATTACTTCAGGGACACTTCCACTACAAGAACATTCCCCACAGGGATGCACGAAATGTTTTTCAGCAAACACACCAACAAACCCTTTCTTTGTATGTGCACTGCCTTTTTTATTTGTTTCTATCAGCAACTAGTTCTATCACATTGCATAATTAACCATTGCCCAATCAGCTCAGTTGGATAAGCACTGGGCTGCCAAGTGGGAGGCCATTGGTTCAAAGTGCTGTCTTTGTAAAGACATATCTGCAAATGGTTTCTACTCTTCTTGGATAAGGATAATAAACCAAAAGCCCCACCTCACAACCCTTGAACATATAAAATCTGTGGGACATTAAAGAACCCACACAGAGAAACTGTTACAGGCCTGCGTAATTGGTGCCACCACTGTTGCAGTGACCCTGCCAAGAATTGGCAAAGCTAATAAATAAGTAAACTTTCAATTTTTGTTTGAAATTATTTTGCAGTGAAATTTACTGTGTTCAAAATCATCTGTGTGATCCATCAATATTATAACAATTGATATTCTAGCTAAAGGCTCCTCATTTAAAGATGCAAGATCATATCCAAGGTACTTCAAACTGCAACAGCATTTAACACTACCTGAAGCTCCTCCTTCATGGCTGTTATTCCTGGAAAGAGCTCCTCTTTAGAAGGATCTATCTCTATCACCTGCAGATTTAAAAAAAGATGACATTAACAACATTAATTGGCCAAAGCAGAAAATACCATAATAGCCATTTGGATGGGGATTCATGTAAACCTCACTTTTGCATTATCTTTTGTTTTTTTGCATGAACTGCATGTGCACACCATGCAAATTATTTTATGTGAAGCTGATGCATTGCGTATGCAGATCATGCAAAACTGAGAAAAGATATTGCAGAAGTCGGGTTAACATGAAGCATCACCCAAATGAGAAACTAAAGATTACATGTATTATGGTATTTTCTGCTTTGGCTGATTTATTGACTGTTGTAAGGCCTGTTATTCAAAGCCATCCCAAGAAGAAGAGAGCTATTAGAACCAGCCACAAAACACCACTCAAGAGTACAACAAACACCAGAGAAGCATCATTGACAACCAGGTGATCAAACACAAGAACTGAGCAAAAAATGAGGATAACCATGAGAGAACCAAGGAAAGAAAGGACTGTGAGAACCATAATAAACCCGCCTCAGAACCAAGGAATCACAACAAGCACAACAATGGGTGTTTATCGGTGTTGCCGAAACGGGTGATGGTTCGCCCTTGTTTTTGGTGTGGGTAATCTTCCTTTTTTGTATCTTTTGTATTGCATTGCTGTGATTGCACCTGCCTGTAACACCATGAAGAAATTACCTCAACAACCAAAACAAGAGAACCAAAGAAGCATAAAAACAAGATTAAATTTAATTTTGAAGATGGACTGGACTGAAGAACTTCTCAATCCCTACTGCCACATGTATTTCAAAAGGCAAATCTACTGCTTAAGCATAATTAATGGTGAGATAAAAACAAAAAAAAGTGGGCTCCAATAAAAATGACAGTCACAAAAATCTTGCCTTAACATCTCTTTCAGGAGAATAAGTATGGCAAAATGACAGTGCAATTTCCTCTGTGACATTCTCAAAGGTTATTGATGGATCTTTAGCAGATAAGTTCATGACATCAGACCGCACACTTTGTGTCGCTTTACTGTTAATTTCTGCCTGTAAAAGGGACAGAAGGTATAGCACTTTGATGTCATAAGTGTTTTTCCACCAAAACTGTTAAAACAGTACTTTATTTGATTTGATTGTTAAATTGTTTTTAGCACAAAAGTACTAATTGGGGACACTATTTTTACATCTCCTACTGGAGACAGGACTACCACTTTGAGAGATCAGCCAGGCCATGTGAAGGTCTAGCCGTTTGCAGGGCAAAGACAGTACCTTAATTTCAGTACATTCAGTTCAAGATAACCAATTACTTGTTAACCCTTTAAGCTCCAATATCCAAATACAAATTCTCCAGCCCGATCTCCATATATTTCCTTATCAATAAAAATTAGTTGAGGGAATTTGTTTGAAGATCATAGCATTTTCTGTCAGCTAATCAGTTTATTAATTCTTGTAACATTTCCCCTTTATTGTTTATTGAAATTGTTAGGAGAAAATTGATTTTGGTCACTCTTAGGACTTAAAGGGTTATTTATGAAAAATGACTCAAACATTGGTTCAAATGTAAGGGAAATGTTACCAGGGTTCTACTGTATTGATTTTGTCCTGCAGACTGAGGGAACTTGTTCTTTGAAGCAGCCAGCTTCAACTGACTGGAAGAATTATCATAATACTTATGTTGTGTTATAGTTTATTCTGATATTCTTACATAAGAAGGCTGGAGGAGAAATTTGAGTAATTCTTGGTCAGCATCCAAGAGTAATGTGCAGTGGTGAAAAGCTACAAGTCTACCAAGCTTTGATGAAGAACCTGATATGTAAACTCTTTGTCAAGGAGAAAATGTCACATCTTGAGTAACTTACAGGGTAATTTCTCACCTTGATTCCAGGCAAGAACGGTTACAACAAGCTCTATTCAGCTTGCATGACTACTTAAATGAAGCTTCTTTCTTTTGGGGAAGGTGACTCTCCACAAAAATTAAAAATGGCAATAGTGTTTGTAAAGGGAACTAGAACGACACAATATTATCATAATGGGCATGGCTCAAATTCACTGTCATTACTTAAGGTACCAATGCTGAGAGAAAAATCAATTGCTCAAGAAACAAAAAAAACCGATAAAATATTTAAATGTGTCCTTTTTGGAGAGATAAGGTAACACAACAACCCTACTCTGGCACCTACATCTTGTAAGCATGCAGTACTTATACTCCAATTTTACACCATCAATTAAGGTACAAAGAACATTGTGGTCCCATTTGAAATAAGAGTTCCCATACCCCTGCTGGGAGCCTCTTAAGCAATTTTAATATATTGAGCATTACCCCCGACTAAGTTTGCATAAGAGCTGCATTTGGGAGAAAAAAGTTCATGAGCACTGCCCTCAATAAAGCAACACGCTTTAGGCTTGGAAAATTAAATAAGTGCTGCGGCACTTATTCAAGTAAATACGGCATTAATATTGTCCTTGTCAGCATCATTTTTACAGACATACAAAAGTTGGAATGTTCTTGAATAGATTTGTCAATACAGTTGAACCACCATGTGCGACCACCAATCTAAGATACCACAGTAACAATTATTTTAGACAATTAAAGCACTATACATTTGTAGTTGGAAACTCTAGCAAACAGCAGGGTGTTCATTAGGCATCGGAGATTGGAGAATTCTCTATTAACTACGCAAAATTCTCCCGCAAATGTTCAGTAGCCTATGACTATCTTTTATTCAGACATGGAGCCTCTTTCAAAATATTCTCCTGTAATGTTACGCCTTTTTCCTGCAACTAGAATTCTTAGTGAAAACCCTGAAACAGTCAAGCACTTCCCATACTCTCATCAATTTGGGTGGTTGCTTACAGGTGGTTTGGCTGGAGATGAGTATTAATTATTTGAAAAGGATATTTTGAATTTTCCATCAGCAAGAATGTCATCCCTTGGAGATGCCTGCACATCTAGTTTCCACCTTTCTCGCAATACTTTTACAATGAGAGCTAAGTTCTCTTTTCGGTTGTACAGATGGCGAGGAGTAAAGAATGATAAATTGACATTCCCTAAGTCCTATAAAAACGAATTGAAAAAGAAAGTGGAAAAAATATATTGAACTTATTATCAGAAAAAAGGACATAAGACGTATAAAATCAATTTTTATTACGGGAATTTTGACCATAGGACGTCATAGGATGTCAATAACTGACTGTCTATGTTTTGGAATGAGGAGTTCTTCTTTTACAAGTTCTCATTGGATTTATGGGAAGAAAGTAATTTGTAAGTAAGATTTGCTTAATTTGTTGATGTTTATGACCTGGTCTATTTGTTTGACATTTTTGTTCCACAGCATTTTTGACATTAGCCAGACCCACTCAATATGGATACCTAATTAAAAAACAAACTGTCTATGGCCAAGGGGGGAGGGTACTCAATTCAAAAGAATGCATGAAGAATGGTCTATACAGGGTTTGAGCCAGGCCGCGCCATTGCGCCAATCCCGCACTGCAATTGGAATTGTCCCTTTAAGAAACGGCCAAGGGGACAATTTGTCCCCTTCAAATTTTAGGGAAAAAACTCGAAAGGAAGCACACACGAAGAGATTTATTTCAGTACAGAAATTGCAAGCTGAAACAGAACGTGGAAGTATATTTTATCGCACCTTTAAAGTTCATTCCAAAGTTACGTTTCAGTCACGCTCTACTGATATTTGCTGATTCTTCGCGCGGTCGCGAAATTCACAAAAACACGAAAAATACCACGAAATTCGGTAGAAATCTTATCAAATACATGTCTGTACAACATATTTGAAACTTATTTCAGCTATAGGGGCTATTTACTTGCCGTAAACTTGCAAATTTATCTTGGAACTTCGTCACTGAAACGTGCAAACAGATTATGTTGCGAAAAACTGGGCACTAGCCATGATGTTAAAGGCTTTGCCATTGGTTCATTTCTGGAGTGTATTTTTGTTGAAAGAGCAAATGATGACCTCTGTTAGAAAAACGTTAAAAAGGCAGGTCTGATCAGCGCAAAACTGATCGATTTCTAGCGAAATTTGCCTTGAAAATAACCACAAAATCGGCCGTTTTTTACCGATTGCTTTTCGGTGAAGTTTGCCCCGAAAACGCCCACGAAATCGGCCGATTTTTCCACGAATTTGTCCCTAAAAATCCCGCGAAATTTGACTTTTTCTTCCGAGACCTATCAGAAGCCCTGCTAAGAAGACAAACCCCTTTGCATCAGCAGAAGGGTGTACAAATTTCTGTCCCCCTAAAAATGAAAATGTCCCCCAAAATTTTAGCCAAGGGGACAAATTGTCCCCCAGTGATCAAATCCTAGCTGAAACCCTGTCTATACAATCGTCCTTTTGGTCATAATTTTATAATGTTTGTTTGCTTTAACATCAATAAATGCCATCCATTCTATAACACAAGATAATTAATTTTACGGTCCCTTTAAAACAGGCTTTTTTTTTGTTAATAGTGCTTCGTCTTTTCATTCACTTACATGATACACTGTTCCTCCTCCACTTTTCCTCCTTGCCAAGTGAACACTACACTGCTTAAGATTCTTTAAGCTGCATTCAAACCATGGATTCTAAATGAATCAACCAGAAAATTGATCAGTGTAAGTCCAGGATAAAGCACTTGTTAAAAAATGTTGCACATTGAAAACTTAAATAATCTGGGAACAAACCTGGTGCCTTCCTATAACAATCTGAAAAACAAGAAAACAAAAACAACTAACTTATCAAAATGCGCATTTGCCCACCTCACATGACCCAAAGTACGGGTACAAAAGCACTGAATTCATGAATAGGAAAACAAAATTTTTGGTGCTCACAGGTTTGACAGAAGGAACCTCAACACTTACTGTGGGTTCATTTCTCCACAGGAAAAGAATTCGTCTGTTTGATAGATCAGCATTAAGATATAGCCTGTAACACACAAGTGAAAATAAAACAATAAATACAATGTACAGAAGCCTAGAAGACAACTAAGGCCCTGATTATTAAGGAGAACACCTGTTCAGGGTAGAGGGCTCACCCTCCCAGCTGTACTTTAGCAAACATTTATATGAGGAAAAATTTGACCCATTTGCCCAAGCCAACAGCACTCACGCATGCTTTGATTGTCTCACGTTGAACGAGTTGACCCGGCTGGGAGGGCTAAACTGTTTATATTGAGAAAAGTTGGCCCACCTACAGGGGTGACCCTACCATCACAGAAGGGAGACTTAGCAAGGCAGGTCATCCTTCTACCTGATTCAACTTTTTCTTTCTCATGTTAACACTTCAACACGTTTTGTGAGAAATGTGTGAAAAGTTGGCTCGCCAAAATTCATTATTAGCTAATTTTCACAAATTTTGTCCCAATGTGATTTCAAAAATGCCAATGCACAAAAATCAAGGTTTCCAAATTTAATATTCGAGCTGCTCAAGTTGTGGCCTTAATGGCTTTAATTTGTAAGTAAAAATAGTAGTATCCTTTGCAAATTTTCTCATTTTTTTTCTCATTTTTTAACTGTTATCTGTACTATCCTCTACAGGCCTAATCTCCAAATCCTCTTTAGCATTAGGCTTTATCGATGGGTTTCTTGTCTTTAACTCAAGTCTTTGCTGTTTTCCCTAATGTTATAGATTATCCACTGGTATTTCATTCTCTAAAAATTCATAGTAAAATTAGATAGTTGCAAATAGAACTTTCTGAATTCTTGTGAGGTACATGAAATAGCTGCATTGTTGTGCATGTCATTATGACACGGACAATGGCTCAACTGCTGGCCTGACAGAACAGACTTTCAGTAAACAGACCACTTCCATTATTATTATTGTGTCATTTGAAGACACATTTTTATTTCCCTAGCTAGTAGAAACACCTGTGCAATGAAGATACCTGGACCAGTCTGTGTGGTCTCTGTAGTAAGTTCCAAACTTAAGACAAAAACACCAGGAAATTGAGTAATTTTAATTTTCCATTGACAACCTTGTACCAGAATAATTTAAACAATATTGCATTCTTTTTTACACTTTTCAAGGGCTATAGAGTGATGTAATTAGTTATCTGTAATAACACCAAAGATAATTTCTCATGGGAGTCTGAGAAAATGAATGTCAAAGTTCACAAGAATTGTGACAACACAGATGAAATTCTAAAAATTTCACATGTAAGATGACATTTTGTGAAATTTGACCTTTAATTTCTCATGCTCTCATAAAAAATTTTCTTTGGTGTTATTACAGATAGCTAATTACATCTATAGCCTTGAAAAATGTAAAAAAAAAAAGAATACGATATGCTTTTAATTATTCTGGTACAAGGGTTTTGTCCACTGAAAATTAAAATCACTCAATTTCCTGATGGATTCCGTCTTAATATACTTACCAGTCTTCAAAAGCTAGGTTTTCAAATGGATTATGAGACAAGGATTTATACACTGACACCTGAAATAAACAAAACCAATAAACCTTTACAAATTAAATCAAACAACAAAATATTTAAATATTTATTGAACAATACACTCTGCAGCCTTCCTGAAAATCTAATTGTCTGAAAATCAGTTATGAGTGGAAGTGAAACTGAATACCCTCTTTTGCCAATCAACTAGAAACACTACATACCACAACTAGTGATCATTGTTACAGATTCAGGGCTGCAAATAACCGTCGGTCATTGGACACTGGCCGACCAAAATTGTGTCTGACAAAATCCAACCTGAGTTCGGACATTATGTCCAGAATATTTTTTTTTATCATAATTCATTTTACGGTATGAAAGAATAAAAATCTACCTATGTATAAAGTATATTAAAAATATAAAGTTCACCACCCTCTTTTTGGTCATGTCTGACCAAAATTCTATTTTGTCAGAACGACATGGTGTCATAGTAGGACATATAGCCTTTACAGAGGAAAAAGATTATTACCAGCCCTGAAGATTGGATGCTTTTAATGCAAGTTATCTTCGACCATCATTTAGAATAATCCCTTAAAACAAGATCACTCTTATAGTGTTAACTTGGTTGCAATGCTCTGGCACCTGAGCATGCAAAAATACCAACAGGCTGACCAAAATGTTATAAGGCTTACAGCAGACTTTGTTGCCAGTGTCGCAATTTTATAACCTACAGCTGTATCCCAAACTCTCATGAGTTGACAACTGATTTCTCATGCTTTCTTAAAAAGTGACACTCCAAAAAATTTTTGGACCATTCCCAGTGTTCATTTCAAGTTAGATAGCAAACTCAATCTGAAAAAAATGCTAGCCGGTCGCGTTTGATTGCTAAGGTATGGATTGCCAACTCGGTGTATTGCCTACATTCTCTGATCTGAAACAATTCACAGATGAAGAAATTCACAGCACATTAAGGTTTAGCCAAAACCCAAGAGTCAATAAAATATCTGGTAGAAATCCTCGAGAAAAATCGAAATAGACACACGAGGAGAGACCATACATTGTCACCAACATTTATACAAGTTTTCGTAGCGTTGCTTCCTTTGCTTGCTGCAGTGTTCTGCAAATTATTTACACTTTATCTCACTTTATAACTTTCCACCCTCTTTTTTTTTTTTACTTTTTACCTGTGCTGACAACCACGCTCCAACATCACATAACATTTTTTGCGCCACGTTTTTGGAAGCAGGAGGTCAAAAAACTCGTTAAAACGGGTTTTTTCAGCGCTAATCTGGGATTACAAAAGGTTGAGTTTGATCGTCTGGGTGAACGTAGTCCTGAATAGGACTGTTGTTGTTGACAGTGACTGACGTTTCGACAACCAGTGCGGTAGTCATCTTCAGAGTCTGACTTGACTTGATTTTGGTCTGGAATTGGGTATGGTTTTTGAGGGAACTACGGGAGTGTATGAACGTGTTTATTGTTTCAACTCCAAATGAGTAAGAAAGAAAGAGAAATATGCGAATTTGAAATGGACTTGAAGAACTTTTTTGTTTGCGCTCTAATCTAAGTAATAATAACCAGGAGCCCATAACCTGGAGTGAGCAACTTCCATGTACTTGTGTCACAGTGTTTTCACAGACCAGTTTATTTTTAGAACGGTTTTGGAGAGAATTAGAATATCTTTAAAGTCCCTTAAACCAGCCAGCAAAACATACAGGCCTAAAAATTATATTTTGTGCCTTTTAATGACATTACGTTTTCCTTTTTGATACCTTATACTTTGAATGCGTTCATAGACGTGGTGTGATTATGGGCTCCTGTAATAACCTAATTTATGCCTAAAGGCCAGGTCTGAAAACGGGTATGGAGATCTATTCTGAAAACCGGTGCAGAAAATTACATATTTTGGTCTGAAATAGGGTCAGGATTTGGAGAACTGGGCAGTACACTCCTTCCACTCTCTCCTCCACAGAGGTTCCTGCTGGGTATCCCTATAAAAATAGCAATAATCGAAAAAATAGAAAGCGAGGGGACGATTGTTCCCCGCACGCTCCCTTTTTTTTTTCTCCCCAGCCTCCCCACAACACAAAGAGCCCTCTGCGGTGGAGAAGAGCTCCCTCCAAGAATTCCCAGGAGTACCCCACCGGGCTTTCGACCCCACTACTTTCAAAGTTCAAAAAAATATTCAAGGACTTGCACAGAAATTCAAGTATTTTTTTTAAAGAAATTCAAGGACTTTTCAAGACTATGTGAATCCTGTTTAAAGAAACTTGGAGCTAAGATGGTGGAGTTGTCCAAAGTACATCACTGACCTCACCTTTCCAATGAGAACAAGCGCGATACTTCAGTGTAATTAGCCAGCAACCTGTCTTCCGAGGAAACCAACGCATATTCTGTGTGGCGAATAGGTTTGAAACGTTAAAAGGAGACAACAAGCTCTAAAAAATGCATTCATTTTCCCACTACACCAAAGGGCGCGCTCACGTTCTTTCCGCCATTTTAAAAATTGGCGAACGCATGAGCATGAGTATAAATCCGCTAACATCCTGGAGAATGCAGGCGCAGTGTTGGAGAACAAGGAGGGGGCGGTGCGGGGCAGGGCGAAGGACGTCATCCTTTTTTTCCCTTTCTCTCTTGTATTTCATCGTTTCATTTCTTTTGTGGTGTTACTTAACGAGCTACAAATAAAAAAACCGGTCAGTGTAAAACACAGACTGCGGACTGTTGTTTTCACCGAGCAAGAAGCTTTCACATGACGTCACCAAACTCAAACCAAGAAACTACTGATTCTTCTGAGTTTCTACGTTCATAAGGAATTTTTTTAATACAGCACCTAAAAACCTTTATTTTCACGAATTTTCGTTCTCGATAGAGCACGCTTGAATTTCCAGGCTTTTGCGTGACGCGGCATTTAGCTGGTGGTGGCCGGGAAAGTTCTTGTGTGGGTAAAAAACGCTACTGATTTTTTTGAGAATTTGCTATCTAAACATTCCTTGTCTCATGATAAATATTACTTTAATCTTTATGAGTTCCTCAAGAGATGAATTCACGTATAATATTTGCCATATTTGTGCCCCTCAAAGGGACACGGTATAGCGTCTCCATACAAAGCCTCATAAAGTTGGGTAAAACGTTTTTAACGAATATTTCGCATCTGAAATATTGTACAGACTTGATTCTCGGCGAGCCTTTTTCTATATTTCCCAGATTCTGGACTTTCTGTATTTTGATTGCGTGACAGTCGTTATGTTTCTTTTCTAACCCTAAAAACAACAGTCCGCAGTCTGCAAAAAAACCACCAAAAAACCGCCAGTTACGCTGGCTAACCTATACCCAAATATTGGTCGAATACCCCCCGGTATTACCTTTGTCCATAGCAAAGACGACCTTTTTAAAACCTGAGACCACGCAAAATGCAAACGTTCTAATGGCCTCGTCACGAGTTCCTTCCCCGCGTGACAAAGCCCTAAAAGTCTGCGCGGTAGGCTAAAGTCTAAGTACAAATGTGCTAAACTGATCTTCATATAGTCTCCCTCGCAGCCGTTTTTTGGATGTCACGCAGCGCTCCCTCATCCGAAAAACGGCTGGAAGGGACTAACCTTCTTACGTCTCTTTTAAAAATTAGTTTGGAGAATTTATTTAACAATCAAAGCATTTTTCCTCAGGTAATCAGTTTACCAATTCTCTCAACCTTTTCTATTGATTGGGCATTGATATTGATGGGAGAAAATCGATGTTAATCAGTCTTAGGGCGTAAAGGGTTAGACTACGTGAGTGGGCGGAACACTTTTGAACAATGGCCAGCCAATAGTGTTCAGAGGGTTCATAACAATAGCTTTGTAATTGTCTGTGTATGACTTACATGCGACATCCCTGATTTGGTACTTAGAAATGTCCAAAACACCGACAATTGGTCGTAAAAATGTTCAGAAATCTCAACTCACCGATCAAGAAAGTAAAGACACCAGTCAGACCGATCGACGTAATGAATCCGAGAGAAGACGCCGCAATCGATTCAACGGTTATATCGACGAGCTCGGGGGTTTCATAGCAGATAGATGCACTACAAAGCGAAGTAAAGAAAAGTCTTCGATTTTGAGACTCACGATTGAATATTTCCGCGAGCAGGAAACAGCTGCTAAAAAAACCCTGAAACAACCGTTTGGTAATGCCAAACCTGCCTATATCACAAACGATGAGCTTTCCTTTGCCTTCATAGAATCGGCGTGTGCTTTCATATTTGCCGTGGACCTGACTGGGAAGATTATTTATTCATCAGACAATGTATTCGCAAGCATCGGACATTTGCCTGGTCATATTATAAACCGTAGCATATTTGAAATCATACAGCCGAAGGATCAGCCTATTTTTCAAGGAATGCTGTCGGTGCTAAGGTCGGACTCAGCGTTACCCATGGTACCAATACCATCTACTGCCAATGGTGTCCCTCGAATTTCTCAACGCCTTGAGCCGTTTTTGTGTCAATTTTGCCGGGGCCCGCGCGGCGGAGGAGACGGTTTTGAATTTTTTTACTGTTTCCCAGCTATGATAAAGAATTTTTCCGAGGAAAAAAATGCCAAACCGGAATTTCCTGACTGTATTCATATAATGGCAAAACCTTTGAACAGAGTAGCGTTTAACACGACGCTTCTCCGATCAGACGGCCCACAGAGAGAATTCACCGCAATGCTGAACATGGCGGCGAAATACGACTACGTTGATAAACGTGTGGCTTTCGTTCTGGGTTATTTCCCTTCGGAATTGATGGGACGTTCCTTGTACGACTTTTGTCATTTCGAAGACCTCGATGTCTTGGTTGAGTACCACAACATGTTGCTACTGAGAGGAAGAATAACAACTTGCTATTATCGACACCTGACAAAAGGACAGTCATGGATTTGGCTTCAATCACGCCACCATATATCGTACAGTGACTGGAGCTCTAAGCCACAGGCTGTAACCAGTCTTTCATGGGCTGTCCCGTATGAGGAAGTCTGCGAGAAACAGAAAGAATTACTGGCACGCGATCGAGAGAAATTTGCTCTCATTCAAGAGGGTCTGGAGAGCG